GCCTCTGCAGGCAGCGCGGAGCAGGGACCACTGCTGCTCCACATGGATCTGACTCATATGCACTGCACAGAATTCACACACAATCCCATAGGGAACAGACCAAACCACCCCAGAGCACCCCCTGGACACCCCAGGCTGTGATTCAAGCCAATGACTTCCCAAGCCTCCTGAGCAGCTCATCCCTGGCATCAGTAGCTCCCACAGCAGAGGAGACACATGGGAATACAGTGCTGGCTGCTGCATCTTCCCAGAATTCAAAGGACTAAACCCCTTTATCCCAGAAACAATCCCAGCCTTTTGATGAGGGGGATTTTAAAAGGAAGGAAGGAGCAGGGGCTGGAAGCATCACCAGGAATTGGCCTGGCACCTTATCAAGGGAGGAATTGGCTGCACAGGACCAGGTGTTGGACTAAAGCTCCCTGCTCCCTGCGTGATGCTGCATCCTCAGCTGATGACCACTGCACCCTTCCCAAGAAGCACCTCGTGAAGGTCAGAGCAGCTTCACACCACGGAGACAATCTGGGGACTGGCCCAGGACCAAAAGCCAGCCTCCAGCATCAGTGTGCAGCCACCAGCGAGGTCCCCCCTTCAGAATGACCCTGTCCCTCCCATCACCCATTCATTCATCACCCTGACCTATGCATCCTCCCTATCCTCTGACATGGGTCCAGGTCCTCAGACCCCCTCATTTCCACTCAATACATTGAGAAGCTGCAGCTTCCCACTCTCCCCTGCCATGGTCAAGACCCCCATGGCCCAGGCACCAGCCCTCCTAAAGGTTAGGTTTGATTCAGATCAGCTTCATTTGTTATCTTTTGGCCTCATCTGCTCTTTAAGACAAACCCCTCCTGCACACACAGCCAGAGCATCAGCCCTGACCTCCTCCTCTCTCTGAGCATCACACACCAGCAGGTGCAAGCAGAGCCCGGGAGCTTCTCTGCAGCAACCTTTGGCCAAGAGTTGAATTTCAGCTGAAGTTACTGATTTAATACAATCGGTGATGAGTTCTGATGCAGCTCTGACTCCATGAGAAGCCAAGGAGCTGGGCTTTGCATGGAGAGAGCAACAGAATGGGATATTGCCAGAGGAGCAGTCTTCCCCAGGTCAATGGGCTGGCACAAGGCTAATGTGCCATGAGGAGGGTTTGGGCTCACACGGAGCCCACAGGCCCTTTCCCTCCCTCCCAAAATAGCCCTGTTTTTGGCATAACAAGAGCGTTTAGTGGAATGGAACCAATGTCCCCTTTCCCCACCCAAACGGCCTGTTCAAACCCACCAGCTCCCCCCATGCCAGGGCTCTGCTTTCCCTAGGGATGCTCCGAGCGGCTTCAGGACTCATTTACCCACAGGGTTATCCCAGCCCAGCCCAGGGCACTGATGGAGGAGCCGTTCAATGGGAGCAGACTCCCCCCCAGCACCCTGCACCCACTCTGTCACAGGCAGGGGCTCGGCTGGCACCCCCCTGTGCAGCACAAGAGCCCCGGCTCCCAGAGGAGCGCAGGTTCCCCTGGGGTCCCCGCGTCCCCTCTGCCGCAGAGCCAGCGATGCCGGAGCTGTCAGCGCGATTTCTCTGCTCATCTCAGAGCGTTCCGCCCTGCAGACACGCACAGACACGGCCCGGCTCCAACAGGGAACCGGAATCGACCCCTTTGAGAGGAGCCCTGAGCTCGGGGCTGCGCTGCCGCGGAGCGGGGATGGCACCAGGCAGCCCTGGGGAGGGAGCAGGGAGCAGAGGAGGAGCTCCTGACATGGATTAGCACCGGGACACAGCCGGATCCGGGTGGTCCGGGAGAAGCAGCTTGAGGTGGGCTCTGGACGGAGCATCCCTCCCACCATCCCCAGCCAAGGGGCATGAGCTGCTGTCGGCTCGCATCTGCCAGGAAACCAGCAGGCTCCTGCTCCAAAGGAGATCACTTCCTACTGGTTCCAGTGCAATGGGAGCTGACAGGGACATGGACTAGGGCAGCAGGAGAGCACGAGCTGCTCCTCCCACCCCAGGGCTGGTTTGGGACACATCGGAATGGCCGTATTTGGGAGCACTCAACAGTGAAAGGGTAAATTAAATGCTCCAGCTCAGCCCACCCTGCAACGGGCAGCCCTTGAGATGGTCCAGAAGGAAAAAGGGAAGCAGCAAACCCATCCCATGCCCTCTGCCAGCACATAAGAAGCACTGGAGGCTGAGCCAGTTTTGGGGTATTGCAGCTCTCTGCGCTCATTCAGTACCAAAACAGAGGGGTCCAACCCCTGCTGTGGGAGCACGAGGATACCAAGAACAAACCGAGCTCACCTGGGCACCCTTGAAAGCCCCAGGCAGTAACTGAATCATTCTTGACCCAGTTGGATTTGAACCGGCATCTGCAACACGAAAGCATCTTTCATCTGTGGACATCCCCTACCCAATAGCTGCAATTCAACACGAGACAACAGCGATCTGTGATTTCATGGCAAGAGAACGCCTCACGAACAATGATTTGGTTTTAAGTTGGGGTCTTTCTGGCATCGAGCTAATAAATGGTAATGATAGTGATTATCACATCTGTTTGCCAGCTCAGCTCTCCACAGCCTTGCTCCACGGAACGCCAGCGATTGCAGCCTCTGCAGAAATCACTGATCAGAGAAGCCGGAGGGGAAGGGGGAAGATGGAGCTGTGAAAAGCTGCCTTTGATGTAGCTGGGATGTCAGCATGAGACAGAGATTCCCGCTCCGAGGAACATCCCAGCTTTGTCTGACTCCATTATTTCATTTAATCCCTTGTCTTGACAAACTCCCCTGCTCCTCCCAAGGCTCCCCAGCGCTGATGTGGTACCAGGGTCCATGCACCCTGCCCTCACCATGGTTGTGCTGGGCTGAGCTGGGACAGGAGCTGCCTGACAAGGGGTGACTGCACCCACGGCCGCAGGCAGGTTCACTTGCTCAGCACCCAAAGGTGCTGGTTTGGCCAGCAAAGGGCTCCAAGAGGAGTGTGATGGAGCAGAGCCCCCCAGCACCAAGCACCCACCACCTCTGCCATCACGCTGCAGCCCTGGAGCACAGACTTCCCCAGTGCTTGTCCTTTGCTCTCTTGGTGAGGCTGGAAGGGCATCAGTGGGTGGTTGGACTTGAGGGGGGTTCAGCCCCTCTCCCAGCACAGGTGACATGGGGCTGAGTGGCACCGAGCACCCACAGTGCCAGCGGCAGGCATCACATCAGGCAGTTCCCAGCCCCAGTGTATGATCCATGGCCAAGTTCCCAGCCTCCAGCTCACACCTCCAGGAAAGGTGGCTCGTGACAGCGCTGGAAATGACACGTTTACAGCCAAAAGCACTGGGAGAAGGTCAGTGCCAGGCTGCGGTGAGAGCAGCAACCAGCACCGTGTCCCCACCGCCGCGGGGAGCAGGCACCGGCTGCTATTCCCCTACATAAGCAAATCCCAGCCCTGCACGAGCAGAAGCCAAGCTTCACCTTGGACACAGAAGCAAAGCGTGCGGGAGGCTGACAGAGCCCCAGGTGCTGGCAGAGGCCAGGGCAATGCAGCAACACAAGGAGCACGCCTGCACGCTCCGAGAGTCTTTGGCTTGGTTGGAAACGCATCCCTGGACAGAGGCACCGCCGGGTCCAGGGGGGGAATCTGGAAGCTGCAGGCTGGAATTTATGAGCCCTGTTCCCATTAAAATAGCAGGCAATATTTCCAGCTGTCAGGCAGCGATGATGAACAAGCCCAGCTCCTTTGCATATTCCAAGCCTTGCTCAGTTGAAGCCACCACCAGCGAGGGCAGGGTCTGGCAGGCAGATGACCACTGCCATGCTCGGAATGCGGCTCCAGCTTGCCCAGTCTGCAGCAGGAGCAGGCTGATCCCCCGGGCTCTGCCAAGGCCAGGGCAGCGCAGGCAGGGCCCTGGCACCAGCCCCAGGGCCCAGCTCCCACCCTCGGGGTCTGCTGGGGACGAGCATCTCCTGCCCGGCCAGGAGCCAGGTCCTGCCTTTGAGGAAGTTCAGTGCCCAGCAGGATGGAAGGTGCTGGAGGGGAGCTGGGGTCCCGAAGCCACCAGGGAGCACAGACACGATGGCACCAGCACCAAGCACAGCCACCACGGTACCAGAGAGCATCAGCGTGTGTGTGGGGCACGGTGCTTGTTAACCAGGGTAGGACCCAGGATGCAGCTACTACACATTGAAGGGCTGCAAACAAACATTTCCTGACGAAACCAGGGCCTCCAACCCCTTCCTGCTCTTCCTGTGGCAAGGGCAATGGGGTGCAGGGGCCAGCGCCCAACACCCCAATTTACAGGATCCCAGCACATTCCTGCCCTTTCCCTCTCAACTTCTCAGCATCCTCACACCAGATAAAGGCACCAATCAGCTACAGAGTGCCTCAGAGGCTGCAGCTCATTAATCCAACTTGTAATTAGTCTGGAAGGGAAGGAGGGCAGTCACCAAGCTGCCACCCAGTGCTGCTCCAAGGGGGCTGCACCCAGACCTGCAGCCAGCCGCACCCTCCCTCAGGATGAGCCTGAGGCAATGGACAGCAACTCCACCAACAAGAATGGAAACTGCCCCAACTCACAGCATCCATGGGCCTTAAAGCATCCTGTCATTGAGACAACAACGGCCAAACTCAGCATAGTTACAGGAGACCCGCATGGCAAGAGGCTGCAGGGGTGGGTCAAGGTGGTACCCAGAAAGCAGAGAGCAGAAACCCAGAATCCAACAGCAACTCCACACGGATGTGCTCATCCCGGCTGCACAAGTCACCTATGGAAACCCAAGATGCTCACCAAGACATCGAGTACCAGCAACTGCCCTTGCACATGGATGGGACCCCAGGTGTCTATCCATGGGCTTCCAGGCCCTAAAACCACTCAAAGACCAGCAGCGGGGTGGGCAAGCCCCCATTGTTCAGGCAGACCAACAAGAGACAGATGCCGAGGGCACAACGCAGCATTCCCGAGCATCCCACGAATGCAGCCCAGAGCAAGGGCAGCCTTTGGGGCAACCTCAACCTCAAGGCTGGGCTCCTCCTACCTTGTGCTGCCGGCATCTTGCCCTTGTTGAGCTGCTTGAGGCGCTTCTGGTGGGATTTGCCGTTGTAGTGGATCTGCGCCTGCGCGGCCGAGTTGAGCTGGATGTTGCAGACCTCGCACAGCGTGAACGATTGGTGCTTCTTCTCCCGCTTCATGCGCTGCTCGGGCTGGCCCGGGGGGCAGCTCCCGGCCTCCAGCGCCTGCACCCCGCTCTCGGGGCTGTGCGAGGGGCTCAGGGGTCGCTTCATGCCTGCGGGAGGAAGGACAGACCCGCCGTGAGCACAGAGGGATGGGAACAGGGGCCAGCACGGGCTGCGCACTGCGGGGTGCCTGAGCTGGGGGGACCTCCCTGAGCATCTGCATCACTGCAACGGATTGCACTAAGGCAGATGACATGAGCAGCAGCACTCCCAGGAGGTCGGTGCTGGAGCAGGGAATAACCCGTTTGTTCCAAGTTTCTAGCACCAGAGGACACTCCTTGTGTCAAAGTCTTTCTGTTCACTCCTGGACATCACCGTAGGTCGGCCCGAGACAGAGCTGGGATGGCAACCACCTCTGCTGGCAAGAAACTCAATAGGAGGGACTTAGGTGCTGCTTTGTCCCCCCCAGCCCATCCCCACTGTGGATGCAAGCACTCTCCCCTGTGTTAGGTGGGTGCCTGTGCTGAATGCGGGGCTCTGCAGCCCCAGACCCACACAGGGATGCCCTTCCCCACAGAGGGGCTGGGGTCAGCCAGTGACACCGCCCCTGTGGCCCTTGCCTTGCAGACACCCTGTCCCTGCTGCCCAGGGACATCCAGAACAGCCTCGGAGAGGCGCGAAGGTCACCCGAGCGCTGTGATCCAGTTACCACCTTGGAGCTGGCAGCTGCTGCTTACACACACACAGAGGCACGCGGCACCCAGACACCCCGAGGGGCCAGGAGTGGGGCATTGGGGTGGCTGTGGGTGGCCAGACAGGCCCCAGACGTGTCCCTGGCATCCTCAGGAAGGATGCGCAGGCCCTGCTCGGGCATTAGGGACCAAACCAGAGGCTCTGGTCATGCAATGCACAGCATCACCCCGGACACCTCACCCAGCAGCCTCGGGTACCACCCATCACAACCTGAGCCCCCCAGGAAGCAACCCCGGCTCCCACAGGCGCCCTGCGGAGGGGCTCAGCGCACCCAGCACCCATCCTGCTGCAGAACGGAGCTCTCGGGGGGGCCGAAAGCCACCGGGCTCAGCCCAGGACCCGCACCCGGCCCCTGCAGCCCCGGCCGCGGCCCCGCGGGGGCGCAGAGGCTCCGCGCCCGTTCCCACGCGTGGGTCCCGCGGCCACCGGGCCGGCCCCGCTCCGAGCACCGGGACCACGGCGCGGGGGGAGCGGCTCTGGGGGCTGCGGGTCCTTCCCTTCCCTTCCCACCTACCCCGAGCGCGGCGGTCCCGGTGCACTCCGAGGCTCCAGCGCCGCCTCGCTCATCCCAGCCCCGGAGGTGACAACGAGCGGCTCCTCCGTGGTTATATTTAGCAAAACGCACGGGAAGGATTTTCCATGAGCTGTTAATTGAGACGGAGGCAGAAGCCGGGACCTGCAGCGCTGGAGGGGCCCGGAGCCAGCCCAGCGGCACCCTGCGGTCCCACCACCCCACAGCAGCGCTTGCCCCATCTCCTGAAGGGATTCACATCACCCTTGCCCAAGGAGGGCGCTCGCATGTGAGGAGGGAGCAGGACCCACAACCAACCCCCAAGAGTCCCTTCCAGTCTAAATCACTCCACGATGGGCCCAAAATGTTAACAATGACCCCCTAAACTCGTGCATCACCGGATAAAATACAAAGCAGCAAAACTAAAAGAAGTTTTCCATTAAAATTAAGTAAATTCGCTTTTCGGCAGAAGGATTTGGGAGCCTGGACTCTGCATGAAGCCCTCTGGTACCTGTTAACCCTGGAGCCCTCGGGATGCTTCCTGAAGCTCCAGCTTCACTTCTCAATGAAAACAGAAGGAAATGCACTTCCCTTGTGCTGGAAACAAGCAATTAAAAGCCATGAAATGCTCAATTTCCCCCCTACATTTTAATTCCAAAGCCCAGCTGATGCTGTTGAGATGAACCTTCCCGAGCTCAGCACACTCGGGGCTGGCACAGCGGCAGGATGGAGCCATCCTTCACAGGGAGCAATGAGCTGGGCAGAAACGCCCCATCCAACACACCACATCACCATGGTCCTTCCCCAAAACTCACAGCGATCGATGCCTGGTGGCACTCAATGGGCAGGAGCCCTGCGGGACCCCAGAGAGGGCCTTTACCAGAATAACCATTAGCAGAGCAGCTGGAAAGCAGATCCGGGAGGTGATGAGCACTGGGAATGTGAAACAGAGCCCGGGGACGCAGCGGGACATGTGGAGCGCTGGTGGGGACAGGCCAGTGGAGGCAGGTCCCCGGCTGCCCTTGGCATCCTCCCCCTCCCCGGGTATTTATAAAGCAATCGCATCCCGGGATGCAGAGCTAAAATTGGAACATTATGTGGACAAAGCATCCCAAAAGTCTCCCCCATCCCATGAAGAGGAACTGCTGCTGCTTTGATTCGGCAGCAGCTCCCGTTGCAGCGTCTCAAGGGCCTGTCCTGATGGCACGCTCGTCTCATTCACTTGGTTTCTGCTGCTCCTGTTCTGCTTCTCAGGTGTCAGGCACATGGATGGGGCCGGACCAGCCACAGCACGTGTGGCAGCACACGGCTCCCTGACCAATACCTCCTATGGGGCAGGTTTGGCCTTTTCGAAACACTGAGGATCTTTTGGGGGGCTGTTACCCTTCACTGTGCCCCTGTGAAGGGTAAGTGACCCCACACCGACCCTCCCAAGGGGACTCAAGTGCTCCGAGTCAAAGCCAGCACAAAGCACAGGGTCACCACAGCCCACCCCAGGGCTGATGAAGCCAAGCATTTATCTTCCCCATGGAGCAACCCTGTGCTTTGGGGGTCTTCCCAAAGGGCTTCCATTGGGGTAGCAGTGGGCTGAGCTGCCCCTTGCCCATCAGCCCCAATAGCCCCATGATGCCCATCCACCTGCACTATTTGCTGCCCTTTGCTCGGAGGCCCCGCCACCGGCCTAAAGGGGTGAAAGGCTCCTGCTGGGTGTGAAAAGCTCATGACAGATGTCCAGATCTCTCTGAAATAAAAGAAGGTCACAGCAGCTTCGGTGTCGCAGCACTGGGGAGCGCTGCACCAAAGCACCCAGCTCCCACCACAGCACAGCCAGGACATGCTGCCCACCGGCACCCAGTGCAGCCCCTAGCCCCACACACCCTGCAGACACACACAGCCCAGCCCAGGGCTGCAGCGCTCCCATCTCCGTGTCCAAGGGACATTCCCCTGCTCATTCTCACTGCTTTTATTGATTGTGATCACTTGGAATAAGAACTGGATTGTGGGATTGCTGTCCCCTCATCCCTGTCACTCCCAGCATAGAAGCCTAGAATCAGCCAGCTTGGAAAAGACCTTTAAGATCACCAAGTTCAACCTTTATCCCAGCACTGCCACATCCACCACTAAACCACGTCACTGAGGGGCATCCTGTGCTTCAGTTCCCAAATGCAAACCAAGCTCAGCTGAAGTCCAGAGGAGGGCATGGAGCAGCTCTGCCCTGGAGCCAGGCTGAGAGAGCTGGGCTGGGGCAGCCTGGAGAGGAGAAGGCTCCTGAAGGGGAGACCTGAGAGCAGCTCCAGTGCCTAAAGGGGCTGCAGGAAACCTGGAGGGGGGCTTGGGACAAGGGCCTGTAGGGACAGGCCAAGGGGAATGGCTTGAACCTGCCCGAGGGGAGACTGAGCTGAGCTCTTAGGCAGAAGCTCTTCCCTGTGAGGGTGCTGAGGCGCTGGCACAGGGTGCCCAGAGAAGCTGTGGCTGCCCCATCCCTGGCAGTGCTCAAGGCCAGGTTGGACACAGGGGCTTGGAGCAAGCTGCTCCAGTGGAAGGGGTCCCTGCCCGTGGCAGGGGTTGGAGCTGGAGGAGCTTTAAGTTCCCTTCCAACCAACCCATTCCATGATTCTATGACTTCCCACGCAGGATGCAGGCACTGCAGAGCAGCTCTGTGCCCACACACCACATCACCACACTGAGCATCCCTCACTCCTGCAGCAAGGCATGGTCACATCACAGTGACCGGAACGGTGCCCATGCCACAGTTGGCCACCTTGTGCTGGGTGGCTCTGCCAGGAGCTTGCAGGCAACAGCAGCCTCTGAGACCAGCCAGGAGGAGCAAGGGGGTTAGTGCAGGCGATGCCAGCGGCCATCTGCAGCCTGCTGACACATTTATGCACCCTCAGCATGCAAAGGAGGAGCTGGAGCTCAGGACATGTGGCAGAGGTCTCACAGCCACCCTCCCTCCATGCTGGGCCCCCCCAAACCTCCAAAGAGCTGCTTTTTAGCCCAGGAAATAGATCCCACCCAGAAAAGCACAGAGCAAAGGCATGAGCTAAGTCACCAGGACAGCAGGGTTCTAAGTTACAAAACCCCAAAGAGTGAGGGGGTTTGATGGCCGTTGGGTTCTTTGCCTCAATTCTGACACTCCAGATAACCTGAGGATGGACCAAACCTGGGCGCAGGGAGCGTGGTTAAACACAGCCCAGCCAGAGGTGTCCGTGCTGATGGAGCTATTCCTGGGGGTGTTCCCCCAGTACCACCCTCTTGGCTCCCTCCTGCTGCTGGCACTGACCCGTACCCCATCCCGAGGGTCTTTTATTGGGCCTGAACACAAAGACCCAACAGGCAGGACCACAGCCTCCACTCAGGTAAAACCACCTTCACCACAGAGCTGAACTGGCATCAAAACTGCTGACCTGAAGATCTGTCCCATTCGTCACTGTGGAACCAGGGAAGCTACAACCTGAACCTGAACTTCAGAGGGACTTGCTAAGAGAGCAAGAAACCTAAACCCAGGCAATCTGATGGGGGTTCACATGATTCCATAACTGAATCTGTTTTCCTCAGCTCTGTTTGAGCGCAGTAGGAAATCAAAGCCACACAAGTAGAAGATTTAGTATGAAAATCACCAGCAGCTGCCACAAAACTCCCTTAAACCCCTCGAGCAACGCACTCATTTGAAGGAGCCGCAGGAAAGCCAGTAAACGCCACAGCCCCAGGCCCGAGTGCACCTGGAATCACTGCACCTCATCCCGGCCGTGCTCTGAACCTTCCCAATGGAACTCGCTGTTAGAGCTGGCAGCACGGCCCCGTTAAAAGCGCCTTGAACGAGCAAATGAGCCAAGAGCTCTCCCCAGCTCGGGGCAGGCTCTGAGCGGAGGAGCCGCTTGAGCTCTGGAGGAGCTCCGTGATCGCATCACAACCGCACGCAGGGGCCAGGCAGGGATGTGCACCGGGGACCAAGCAACCCTCCCGAGCCCCCACGGAGCTCCATGGGGCGCAGAGGAGCCCGGCGGTTGGGGGGCAGCACCATCCCTGCTCGCATAGAGCAGCTTCCAGCCCCCCCACCCCGGCCGGGTCCAGGCCAGAGCAATGGCGAGAGGCAGCGGCCGGTGCCTCCGCAGGGACGCTCTTACCTGGCACCGGGAGCGCCGAGCTCTGCCCTTGGCCACCACCGCGCCGGCTCCTGCCCGTGTGCGGGGCTCAGCGCGCCCGGGCGCTCCTACACCCGGAGCGCTTCCAACGCGGGTCTCATGTTTCAAGGAGCGCTTCAAGAGCGGGGCGATCGCCGCTCACTCAGCCTCAGCAGCAGCCTGCGGCAGGGAGCCGGCAGCCCCGGCAGCCCCGAGCGGGCGCCGCTGGCAGGAGGCAGCGCTGGAGGAGCCAAGAGCGGGCTCTGCTGATGGCCAAGGGGATGGGGCAGCTCCTGTGGGCACACCCAGAGCATTCCCCGTGCGGATCCATACGGAAACTGGCGGAGGGATGCAAATGCAACCAGCCCGGGCGGCAGCGAGCACAGGGATGCTCTGCCCCCGGGATGAAAGGCACCCGCTGGACCCTACAGCATCACAAGATGCGGACACAGGCACACCACAGACTGAGGGCCCTGGCCATGCCTGTTTCGCTTTCAGCATTTCATGATGTGCCATCAAATCAGACCCCTTCTGCCCTGTCCCCCCAGTCCCAGCATATGCTCCACTAACGCCAGAGTGAGGCACATTTGGGAATCAGTCCATAAACCAGAGCAAGGATTAACGTGAGCCAGCCCTCCCACAGAGCTCAGGACCTCAGGCTGGCTCATGGCACAGGGACCAGGGCACTCAGACCAACCTCAGACCACGGGGCTGAGCCCTCCAAATGCCCAGGCTGGCTCTTACCCTCCGATGCCCCCTGAGACCCCCTCAGCCCCACTCCCACACTGAAGGGCAATGGGGACATCCTGCAGCACCAGGGACAGACAGAGAGCAGCGCACAGACACAGCAGTGCTGCTGTGCCCGTCCTCTGGCACATCAGAGATCACTGACACGGCAGGGACGTGTCCCCTGAATCAGCAGATCTGAGCCCGGCTCCCAAACCGCCAGGACAGCGAAAACCCGAACTGACGGAGAGGCCGTGGAGGGAACAAGGCTGCAGAGAACATGCCCCAGGAAGCAAAGCCTGGGAAGCGCCTCGTAGCTCCCATCCCAAGGTGCTGCAATCCCGGAGCTTCCAACGCCGCGTCAGCAACGTGGTAATGAATCAGCTCCAGCAGGGACCAAACAGGGGTAATGAGACATGGGCTCTGTCCTTTGAGGGTGATAAATGAGGTGGTGAGCACGCTGCCCTGGGCACATGCCACAGCCAGGTCCTGTGTCCCCCCCCAGGGGCTCCCAGTAGCAGTAGGGAACAAAGCAAAGCAAACACGGGCAGGCGCTCATCATCCCAATGGATCCCAAGATCCTTCAGGTTTCTTGGGATCAGCACAAAAAACCAGGGGAGAGGCACCTATGGCAAACCCGCAGCGGGACAAGGCTGCGCCTGCCCTGGGTGCAGCCACCCATGCACCAAACCCGCTCCCAGCAATCCCTCACACGATGCCAAAACTCAAGGAGGGCACAAAGCAGTGGCAGAGCACCAGGGCCGAGCTGCTCCTGGGCATCACCGCGGGCACAGGGAGGAGCTGCCGAGGTGGGGATGTGCAGCGTGACAGCAGGGAAGGACTAAACCAGGCAGCTTTGCCGAGCTATGGGGAGGCAGGGGCATGTGCCCCGTGCTCTGACGGTGTCAGACACCACCAGCCGTGCCGCTCACCCCTTAAAATAGACCCGAGCAGCGCAACCTGATGCAGCTTTGGCCGAGCTGCTCCTCCTCCTGCTCGTGACAAACGGGGGGGGGGGGGGTTGTTTCCAACCCCCCCACCCCAGAATCAAACCCAGGCACCATGTGTAATGTGGCAGCATCTCCTGTGGCACAAAGCTGGCTTCTGGCACCCCAGCAGAGCCCCAACCCTCCTGGCACCCATGGATGGGGTGACACCACACGTGGGTTTGCTATTGAGGTCCCTGCATGCACCGTCCCTCGTGTGCTGCTGGAGGCATACCTTGCCCTGATCCCAACCCTGCCCTCACCACAATTTCCTCTTGGACAACACCAGGCAGGAACCACATCATGGCACAGGGAGGGCTCTGAGCCCCAGCAGCACCTCCGGCCCCCTCGCTGAAGCTGCACAACCAAGCTCCTGGAGAAGACGATTTGCCACACGTGCAGGACTCAGATGATCACATCTGACATCAAACATCCCCATTCAGAGAGCAGCAGCCAGCGCTGCTCCCACTGTGGCTGAATGCCCTTAGAGCTGTGAGGGCAGAGCTGGGGGACAGTGACGAGCTGGGGGCACAGCACAGACCTGCAGTGAATGCAGCATCCAGCGCCCTCACACCCACATCTGCATCAGGAGCTTTGGGGGCAGAAAGGGGCTTTTGAGCATGGCTGTGGATAGCTGCTGGCTGACACAGGAGACCTCCAATTTAAGCCGGGGCTCTTGCAGGCTACTGTATTACAGCCTAAATTAAATATTTCATAGTGCTAAGCAAGTGACATTTGAAATGCAGTCATTGCAGGGGTATCAAATAAAGATATTTGCAACAGGAGCTGTTTAAATCCATGTAGCACTTTGGGTCAGTCCATCAAAGTAAGCCCAGTGCTTTATTAAAATTCAAGTCACCAAACACCCAATCTGGAGGAGGCCCCAGAGCCCCTGCAGGGGGTCAGTAAATAAGTAAATGCCGACCATGAAGCACAGCTCTGGAAGCTGTTTTCATTAAGAAGTTAAGGCTGGCAGGACACTTTGCATTACTTCTGCCTTCTGAACCTCCCATGACCATATGCCACGGGTATTTTAACCACCGGGATCAAAACACCCCTGTCCTGACAGCGGCTCTCCCTGCTGTCACTCAGGAGAGCTTTAGCTCCAGAGGGAGCTGCACCAAACACCACAGAAGCCAAAGCAATTTCACCACAGGCCCGGACCCCCCAGAATGAAACAGCACATCAGGACCTACCAGAGCATCACACGGGCCAGGCTGGAGGAGGGCAAATGGACCCCTGTATGGGGATGGATACCAGGATACAGGGCCACTGAGCAGGATACTCCTCCCAAACCCCTACAGCTCTGCCCTTCCCCTTCTTATAGCCCTCCCAAACTGATCCCAGCTGGAGCTGCCCTGTGGCTCCCACCCCACAGCTGTGAACACTGAGGTTCCCCAGAGCAGGGAGGAGAAAAGCGGAGGAGGCCTATAGGGATGCTGGGGAGGGACTCTTCATTAGGGACTGTAATGACAGGACAAGGGGTGATGGGTTAAAACTGAAACAGGGGAAGTTTATACTGGATATAAGGAGGAAATTCTTTCCTGTGAGGGTGCTGAGGCACTGGAATGGGTGCCCAGGGAGGTTGTGAATGCTCCATCCCTGGCAGTGTTCAAGGCCAGGTTGAACAGAGCCTTGGGTGATATGGTTCAGAGCGAGGTGTCCCTGCCCATGGCAGGGGGTTGGAACTGGAGGATCTTAAGGTCCTTCCCAACCCAACTATTCTATGATTCTAAAACACACACACCCCCCCCCCCCCCCAGCCCCAAATCAAACCTGTTGTCAGGCAGGTCTCTCCAATAGGTGTGACAGGAATCACTGCGAGGTTGTTCAGTTCTGACCTGAGTTACTTCCCTACTGAAGCATGAAAACACCCTAAAAACGAGAGTTTGTCACAATACACCAAACCCACTGCCAGTAAGGTCCCTGTGAAAGTGCTTGGAAAGTTAAAGGCTGGAGAAGGATTTTCTGCATTAGTCACAGCAGACGGGACACAGAGTGCAGGCAGCAGGATCGCACTTGAGGACGGTGATGATGGATCAAGGGTAAATAAGGGGAGGACAGGGCTCAGCGGGAACGAAAGGTTCCCTGAGTGCTGCGGCACTGGGGCTGCTGCCAGGTCTACCCTGCACATGGAGGCAAGGGATGGAGCTGGGCTTCCCCTGGCGAGGAGCTGCCTGAGCAGCACGCTCTGGCCCAGATCTGCAGCGCTTGTCGTGGAGCTGAAGTTCCCCAAGCTCCTGAAAGAGCTTGGAAAGGCGCCTCCAGCTGGGAGCAGGTGACAAGTCAAAAGGAGCCCGAATTTATTGTTTGCTTCGGATTTTGAGTGGGAGGAAGGAAAATGGGGCGAGCCATGATTTTTTAATGCCTGCGCTTGGCAGTTCCATATTTAACGTGACAGCATCCCTTTAAGAGCACGGGAAAGGGAATAAATTGGCAAAGCAATTTGCTTTCAGGCCAGCCTGACAATTCCCTGCACAAACACTTTGCTGCAGCCTCGGTTGAGCCGCAGCGACCGGCTAAATCTTAAGAGTTTAAGGATGCTCCACTGGTTGATGAGCCCATCTGCTAACACTGGAAGAGGTAATTGATCCCGGAGATGGTCCAGAGAAAGAGTGGAAGAAATAATTCATTGTGAGACGATGAGGAGACGCGTTGTCATGTTATCACGCTGACAGCCCCACAACACAAACAGGGATGCTTGTTACAGAGCCTGAGCCCAGCATGATCAAAAGGATTTCTCCATTTGGGGTGGGAGGGATGAAAGAGAAGAGAAAGGAAGAAAGGAGCAGGAGAGCAAATCAAAGCCTGTGCTTAGCATGGCTTAGGAAAGAAGCTTGGGAGGAAGGCTTCCTCAGAGCAACTGGGTCTGAGGCGGGCGGGGAGGATGCGTCTGAGGAAGGCAATGGAACTGGATGGATGGAACGATGGAACTGGAGCTGCGGGAGGAGAAGGGACAGGAACCAGGGTTCAAAACCATCCCTCGCTCTGCATCAGCCCCAGCCTCATGCCTGGGCTAGAGAGGAGCCTCACAGCCAGCATTTAGCTATGGGAATGCCCCATCTGCAGATTCCTGTTTGGAACCCTTTATTCGCTATGGCAATGTTGAGGTGTCACCAAACCCCTCCAGAGCTCCCTCCGGCAGCAGGGGCCAGGCGAGCAGTCACATTCAGCCCATCACCACCAATGGGGCACACGTTGGCTTGTGGGAGCGCCTGGGGTCCTTCCAGTCATCGAACCCAAACAGCCTCAAGCCCACAGCCCAGGGACCCCAAGAGCAATGGGGGTCCAAGGGTCCCATCACAGGGCCACAGCAGCAGGAGCTGCGCTGCAGAAGAGCTGGCTCCCAGCCTCAGTTCATCCTCAGCCACTGACTGGCCTGTGAACCGCTGGGAAGCCGTCTCTGACAGGCAGGGAAATTAAACAGGACAGATGATAATTAATTGTCCATGTCTTTCAGTGTCTCCTGGATATGGACTAATGAAGTTCTGTGCTGCTTGCTGGCTAGAGGACAGAAGGAAAAGAGTTTTAGAGCTTGGGTTTAATCAGTTCAGTGCTAAGCGTGGCCTCATTTCATCACCTCCTCCCTGTATCCTGGTTTGAGCTCTCCCGTATCTCCAGACTCACTCCTGGCTTTGCAGTACCGGGATGCTGCTGCGGGAACCCAGTCCCTGCAGCGTGAGCACCCTGAGCTATGGCAGAGGCCACTGTGCCGGGAGAGCAGCGCGTGTGCCCAGTTAAACCCAGGGACCTTTGCTCTGAGGAGGGCAGAAGGCAGCGAGTGTTGGCAGCGCGGGAGGCAGCTCGAGTGTTTGGGCAGCACCGTCAGTGGGATGTAACAAGCGGCTCAGCTCCCCTGCTCCAAAGGAATTCCTACAGGGACTCGTGAAAAGTTGCTTGTTTCCCAGCCATGGAAAACACACGGACAGGGGCTGGGCGCACAGAGCCCTGCGGGGTACGTGCTGCAGATGGGTCATGGCACAGGGGGCTCCAGGGGGGTTTGTAGCAGCACAAGGTCAGGGCCCACCTCAGGCTCGGCTGGTGCTGGCGGAGGGACCGGTGATGGGATGTGCCCTCGCACTCCATGAAATCCTGCCCATCTCCTTTCCCACTTCAGCCCTGGGTGCTCTGGGTCCCAAAGGGGACAAGGAGCCCACCACTGCCTCACAGCCAGGACAGCGCTCAAGCAGCTCCAGCATCCTCAGGGTGCTGGGGGTGCCCACAGAAGCCTCGCTCAGCCCCATACAAGCCACAGCACCAGGCTCCTGCCTCCCTCCTGCGTTAGCATTGAAGGGGAAAGATCTTCCTCCTCCCTCCTCTGCCTCCCACGCTGCGTGGCACATGTGGCACTGGATCGCTGCAGCACTGTCACTGCATGGTGCCTGATGCAGAGGGCTGGCAGGGCTGGGCAGCTGATGAACCATGGCTGGAGGAGAGGCCGGTTCTTCCCCATGGGCATTCCCAGGGCAGAGCTTGGGAGCTGCCGCTCCTCCAGTGGCCCGTGTCCAGCACTGCCCGCCAGCAAATTCCAGGCAATGGGAAACACGGTGGCAAGGTGGCCTGGGCAGAGGTGCTGGCAAGGCCACCTCATAGGATGCACAACGCAGCCCATCCATGCCAAGGGCCTCAGCGTGTCCATGGGTGGCACAGTGCCACCATCACAGACGGGACTGCTGGAAGCAGCCAAGGCACGGTCCTGCGGCTGCCTCTGGACCATGCTGCCCAACAGGAACCCCAGCAGCCAGCTAGCCCATCATCAGAGCTGCTCCCAGGTGGATGGGGGAGCCAGAGGGGCAGAGGAGGTCAGGGAAAGGGCTCCTCGCTTCGCCCCCTGCACACATGCCCTGCACTGGCTTAGCCCTGTGGCCCTGCCCAGATGCTCACTAAGCCAGGAGCACCACACAGCATGCCAGCCCTGTGCCATGCATCCCTCCCCGTGCCATGCATCAATCCCCATGCCATGAATCCAATCCCATGCCATGCAGCCAGCCTTGTGCCATGCGTCCAGCCATGTGCCTTGCAGCCATCCCAATGTCATGCAGCTATCCCCATGCCATGCATTCAGCCCCATGCTGTGCATCCATCCCCATGCCGTGCAGCCAGCCCTGTGCCATGCAGCCAGCCCTGCAGTGCCCGTGCCCCATGCCCACCCCACCAAGCCCAGCACTGGCCCAGCACCGACCACGGCCACGCAGAGCCCTGGCACATGGGGATGCGAGCGGAGGACAGCAGCGAAAGGCTCGTCTCTGCTGGCAGCTGGCGAGAGCTGGAGGCGTTGCTGCTATGAAAACATGCGAGGGCTGCGTCTGAAAACATTGCGAGGAGCCAGCGACATAAATAGGCCCTTTATGGCTCCTTCCTGCTCTGAGACAGGCCCTTTCACAGGCGCTTGGCTCTGGCACGGTGGTTACTCGGCTAAAAGAGCCTCTCGTGTTGGACACGGGGAGGCTCGGGACTGTCTGGGATGGGGAGGATGCTGGTGTGGGGCAGGTCAGAGCACAGCGGCGATGGGGACAGCCTGGTCCAGCACTGGGCCAGATGTGCAGCAGAGATGCCACATGGTACCCAGCCACGAGCATCCTGTGCCTGCCCTCCCACTGAGGCTGGGGGGGGCTGCAGGACCAGAGACCCACTGAGCCAGCCGGTCCTGTCCAGCCCAGGCAGCACCGCACCAGCAGATTAAGGGCCCATCCATGGCCCAATCCTGCGCTGTTTCACACCAAACCCAGAGAGGCCCCTGCCCCACACACACAGACCGAGATTTGCAGACTCGGGGCTGCCCCCAGCTCCTTTCTTGCCTGCAGCAATCACACCCCCGCAAAGAGCCAACCTCTTCCTGGGATGGAGCAGCTGATGCCACGCTCCCACAGGCTCCCTGGAAGCGGGGCTGTGCATGGAGCTATTTCTGGCTGGAAGCTCCAGCAATGTGACACCCACCAGGCCCCCCCCAGCAGAGCATCCCTCTGCCAGCATCCATCCCTCTGTTTGCAGCTGCAAACTTATGGACACCTGAGCCATAACCCCTCTTCCTCATCCAGGATGCCCTGGGGCAGATGGCATTGCAAAGGGTGCTGTGGCCCACAGCAGAAGGTGCCTGCTGGTACTGGGTAAGAGGGGGAGCAGGAGGGGATGGAGCATCCCCACGCTGGAGCATCTTCGCTTTCCCAAGTCCCAGGATCTCAGATGTGCCTCCACTGTGCTCACCCAACCACAGCTCCAACCCCCAGCACCCCTTCCCGAGCAGGGGTGCTCCCACCACGCCAGCACCCCACGGAGAAGCAGCTCATCCTCAA